GCCCCGCCATCCTGCCCAGCCCGGCCTCTGGGAGATGGAGCTGCTGGATACGCAGCGGGAATTTCTCCTGTTCCTTCTGGCCCCACTGCCCTGGCCCAGGCCCAGGCAGCCGCCTCGGTTTCTGCCCTAGAACAAGGAAGGTCCATTCCTCCATCGGAACCAGACGGACGGGTTCCCTGCCACCCCCATCTCCTCCCTCACAGCCCCAAGCATCTGACGGGAGCACCCCCACCCAGGGCACCAGGACACCCCCCTCAGGACAGGGCACCCCCACATTTGCTGACACCTCCGCCAGCCTGGGTGGCCCTGCTGGGGACCCATATTCCAGCGGGGAGGAGGGACCAGAGACTTGTCTTTAAAACAGTAAACCCCACTGTTCCAGTAAACCCCACTGTTCCAGTAAACCCCACTGTTCCGAGGAAGAGGGATGGACCCCCACTGCCATCTGCCTCCAGGGCTGCCCCGGCCCCTCTGCCCTGACCCCCGGGTTCATTCATTCAACAAGTACCTGTGGAGCAGCCAGGGCTCTGAAACAGACAAAAGCCCTGCTCTCACGGAGGGAGAGGCACTAAGAACCCAAGACACAGTGAGATGGAGAGGGTCCAGGGTAAGGGCTAGGGGAGAACCCCAGCTGAGAGGGAGAACCCCAGCTGAGAGGGAGAACCCCAGCTGAGAGGGGAGAAAAGGCGGCGGGGGTCACTTGCAATTTTCGATGAGAGGCCAAGAAGGATCTCAGTGGGAAGCAAACACCTGAGCAAAGGCGGAGGAGGGTGGGGGAGGGGACGGGAAGGAGCCCTGTGGGAGGAGCAGAACTTTGCCTTTACACCTGGGACCCCGTCCCTGGCCTATATGTTCACCTGCCCCTACATGTTGTAGGCAGTTAGACAGATGTGAGCAGAGCAAGGACCATGGGCCACGTCCAGGTCACCAGGGTGAAAAGCCCCAGGTGCCCAGCAAAGGACGATTGCAGGGTGGGACCTCGCCTCCAGGGCGACCTTCCCTCCCCTAGCAGATGGCTGACCTTTCTTTCCTCCCTGCAGATGACATCCAGGCCTCAGTTGGATTTCAGCTCCGGGCCCAGATAAGCAACAAAACCAGCCTCTGCATCGGATAACGACCCCCTGCCTGGTGCTGGCCAATCAGTGGAGACCACAACCCTGAAGGGACACACCTGGCAAGCTGCTGCACATGCGCTTGAGATCCCCCCTGGGACCTCCCTAAAACCTCCACCCTTGAAACCCTTAGGACGGAGGACGCAGCACACGCTCCCTCCTGCAAGCACGCCCAGTGCCTTTCCCTTTCCCCCTCCACCCGCCTACCCGCCCTGCACGTTACCGTTAGCTTCCTCACTCCCAAGCTCCAAGGGCCCTTCCTTTACCTCTGGAACTTGTTTCCTAAGCCCATTTCACCCAGGAATTACTTCTTCTACCTTGTAACTTACCCAACAGATGTTCTCTTACAGTTTGGGTCTTGCTCTGAATCCTTTTCTAGCCAGAACCCAAGCACCGAGGTTGCTGAACCCAGGTTTGGTCTGACCCACTGGTCAGACACATGGTGATGGCCCCGCTGCCCACAACACCATCATACACATACATCGTCGAGTCTTACTCTTACACACAAACCTCCTGCCCTTACTCCTAAACTCTGAGGCCCCTGCAGCACCTCCTCAGCCAAGTGCTATCGATAGAGAGAACTCTCTGGAAATCTTAAAGGTGCAGCTCTTCCTCCCCCCCTTTTTTTTTTCTAAAAACCTAAAGATTTCAGGTTAGGAATTTTCTCTTTAAATGAGGACTGTAAAAAAAAAAAAAAAAAAGGCACATTCACATATGCCCCAGGACCTTTGCACCTCCCAAAGAATTTCTAAGCAAGTGGATAACAGAGATATTTTTGTTAAAGTCACCTGCAGAGACGAGAGAGATTCGTCACCAATGCCAGACCAAGAGGCATGCCTCCATGAGGTGGGCCCTAATCCAGGGACTGGTGTCCTTCTAAGAGGGAAACTGGACACAGAGACACAGAGAACGCCACGTGAAGACGGAGGCAGAGACTGGAGTGATGTGTCTGCAAACCAAGGACTGTCGGCAACCACAAGAGGCTGGGAGGCCTGAATCAGACTCTCCTTCAGAATCTCCAGAAGGAACCGCTCTTGCCAGCACCTTGGTTTTGGACTTCCAGCCTCCAGACTGCGAGAGAAGATGTTTCTGTGGTTTTAAGCCTTCCCGTGTGGGGTGCTTTTGTTATGGCAGCGCTAGGAAACTAATACATCTCTCTTGGCTGCTCTTTGAACCTGTGGGCGGATGTCCTGGTCTGATTTAACCGTGGGATGCTGGCATCGGTTCTTGGCCTGTTAACGCTCTGCGTTCAAGCTCTGAGCCTGCCACCTTCCTGGCAGCATGACTTCAGGCAAGTTGCTGGACCTCCCTGCACCTCCGTGTCCTCATCTTCAAAGCGTGCCTACCTCCTGGGGCAGTTCTGAGATGTCGATGGAGAAATATACAGGAGGAGGGCAAGAGCAGGGTAACAGTTGTTCATATGGAAAAAGACGGGCAGGTTAGGATTATTACAAGCGCTTTAATAACCCAAAAGAATGTCACAAGGCAACTGTCAACATACTTTTGCCCACCTGCATATAAGGTACTTAGACCAGCACCCAACGTAGACTTAACACTCAATACCTGTTCTACCGTCATTGCCACGCTAAGAGGTGTCAACGTGGTTTTCCAGTCCATTCTCTGTGCCTGGAGTCCTTGGGTCTTAATAGTGTGTGCAGTTCCCAGGGGTGTGAGGCCCGGCGAGATAATGAATGTATCTCAAGTTAAGCACCAGGCACGGTGCCTGGCAGATAAGGGCCCTGTGCCAATGTGGGCCCCACCCATCGGTCAGAGATGGGCTTAGCCAAAGGGGGAGGCCCAGGTGCCTCCTGGAGCTGCACTCCTGCTCCCCATAGGCTGAGGGTCCCTGAGCAGAACGCTTTACACCTTTAGACCTCAGTCTTCCCCTCTGTACAATGGGACCTCAGTCTTCCCCTCTGTACAATGTTCTCCCCTCAGTCTGAAGCCTGACACCCCTCTACACAGGCCTCCTCCAGGATGGCCCAAAGCCTGCTCTCTCATCAACCCCACGAGTGCTAAGCTAATTCCTCTCTTGCTCAAAGAGGGTCACCCCAAGTCTGCCTTTAATCCTCCCCACTCTCTGGGCTGGATCAAACCCTTGCAGATTCACTGTGTGGCATTGGGGGAATCACCTAACCTTTCTGTTCTGTTTCATCATCTGACATGTGAGGAGGTTGGGGAGGGGGTGTGTGCTGTGCAGGACAGTTCCAAGCTGTAGTGGGCATGAGCGGCCATGGGGCGTTAGGGAGAGTAAACCCATGGGAGGGACAGCGTCTCAGAGCTTGGAGGCGGACACTGGGGTTTTGAACTCAGCAGCCGCCAGGCAGGCAGGTCACAGAACTGACGAAGGGGCTCCAGGGGGGTTGGGTTTGTGGCGCTGGTGTCTGAGGGAAGGCAGGCCTGAGGCAGCCAGAACTGCTAACTTTTCAAGCGACACTGGAATCTGAATTTCTAAAAATCTTCAGCTTTTTGTTGTTAATCCTCACATGAGGATATTTTT